CGCTTGGCCGCGCGGGGGGGGGGGGGGGCGGTGTGTAACGGCCCCAGAGCCGGTGGCGGTAAGCCGCCGGCTCCGTCGTCGGTCGGGCGCCGCTGAGGAGGCGGCGGTTGGGCTTTGTGCTTGTTTTAAAAAATTATTCGCTAGTAAAAACCTTGTGAGGCACAGCAAGCTCTCTGCGGAAAGCCGGTGTGCGGTGTGACGTTAGTGCACGGGACCGTCCCGGGGTTCAGGGATTTTCAAGCCGTAAGGAGGCGGTGGATGCGGTGCACTCGGGGGGAAGGGGCTAGCGCTTCGTGACCGCGCCAGGCGCCAGGCGCCAGAGCTGCGCTTCTGTCTCTGAGCTTGCTTTGCCTCTCGTGTAGCTTTCTGCTTGGAAGTCGTGTTGTTTCTTGTGTGCTCAGCTCTCTCTTGCTGGTTATCCTTGCCTCTTTTGTAGGTGGATCTTAATCTTCGAAAATTAGTTTTTCCATGTGGTGCTTCCCTTATCTGCTTGGACGTGAATTGTTTTAATTACAGTATCATTGATCGGTGTCATTGCAGTATAACTGATGAGTAGCTAAACCCTTGAACAAGGGCTAAACAGTAGCTAAACCAGTGAGGATGATGGTAGGTGATACCTAAATTTTAGCAGGCTGACATGTGGCTTTTCCACATCAAAATGGTGCTCAGACTGTAACATGCTGAATCTCCAAGGTTATCCGTTCAGTCTGAAAAGTTTACGTGGCCCAAGAGGCAATTGTAATGGCTTGTGTCCCTTTTGTTTTTTTCCAGGCTTGTGATCATCATGGCTGCAGTGGATCGTTTCTACCTCTTGTACAGAGAGATCAGTCGTTCCTGCAGTTTTTACATAGAGGCCCTGGCTATAGTTGGAGCTTGGTACACAGTCAGAAAGTGTGTCTCTCTTGCATTTGACACTTACAGCATGCTTAGGTTGCATTTAATTCCAAAGCTGGGAGGCCAGATTGATCTTGTCAAGCAGTATGGAAGATGGGCCGTGGTCACTGGTAAGAGACTGAAGCAGTATATTTGCTTATGTTTGTATAACATACTGTGCCAGTACTGTAAAACTTGCTAGCTTATATTCCTGGCTGAGCTTTATGTCACAAGCTGGGGCCTGCATTAGCTTGGGTTGCAAGTTAATCTGCTTAAGCTGTGACAGTTGTTCAGTGCCTTACTAAGTTCTATTCCTCAGGAGATGGGCGAGGTCAGTCTGTTGACTGACTGCTGGGAAAGAATCACAGAGCAATTTTTCCCAAAAATGGCAAAGTACACCCCAAACGTATACAAGCGTAGACAGAGATGCGGACAAGATCCCTTTTTTTTTGCTATGGGCTTTTCAGATGTGCTCAAGTTCTTCAACAAGGTTTAAGTCATGTACCTCTGACATCCTTGCCTTTCACTAAGGTTCTACTCTCTGTTGTTGTCACAGAAAATATAAAACTTGTATGAGGTGGGATTGCAGCAGGTTCCTACTGACAGTCGTGGAAACATGGTGGGATGACTCGCAGAACTGGAGTGCTGCAATGGATGGCTACAAACTCTTCAGAAGGCCTAGGCAAGGAAGGAGAGGCGATGGGGTAGCCCTGTATGTTAGGGGCTGTTTTGATTGTCTAGAGCTTAATGATGGTGACGATAGGGTTGAGTGTTTATGAGTAAGAATCGGGGGAAGGCCAACAAGGCAGATATCATGGTGGGAGTCTGTTACAGACCACCCAAGCAGGATGAAGAGGCAGACGAAATATTCTATAAGCAGCTGGGAGAAGTCTCA